AAGAATATCATACATCCGCAGCTGGAGGACACAAGGGTATAACTAAAACTTATAAACGAATACGACAGGAATTTTTTTGGAAAAATATGAAAGAAGATATACGAAACTATATTTTATCGTGCATTAGTTGTCAGAAGAAAAAGTTAGTACGAAACAAAACACGTCAGCCTATGGTTATCACCGATACGCCGTTGAATACCTTCGATAAGGTAGCATTGGATATCGTCGGTCCTTTACCGGTCACTGCCTCAGGGAATTGCTACGTTCTAACTATGCAAGACGATTTATCAAAATATTCCATAGCAGTACCTTTACAAGAAATGGATGCTATGACGGTAGCCGAAGCTTTCATTAAACATTGTATTTGTCAATTCGGATCGCCTCGAACAGTTCTTACGGATCAAGGACGAAATTTTATTAGTTCACTTATGCGAGAATTAACTAGAAGATTCCGAATTAAAAAATTAAAAACAACAGCATTTCATCCTCAATCAATCAAACGGATCTTTAGAAAGGTCTCATCACGTATTAGCTGAATATCTGAAACATTATGTAAGCGAAAAGGAAAATTGGGATATATGGTTGGAAATGGCTATGTTTTCCTATAATACCAGTACTCATGAAGCTACAGGTTTCACCCTATTCGAACTGATTTATGGAAAATTAGCAAGAATTCCATCAAGTTTATCATCAGAACAGCTAGGAAGAACGTATGACGAATATCTGGAAGAATTGATGGATGACCTAGACGAAGTACGAAAAATAGCTAGGGAAAATTTAGAAAAAGCTAAAAAAAGATCCAAAGGATATTACGATAGAAAAATAAATCCAAGGAAATTCACTCCTGGACAATTCGTGTTTTTATTAAGAGGAACCGTCATAAGGAAATACGATAATCAATATGTAGGACCATATGAGATTATCGAAGTATATGAAAATGGAAATGTCAAACTTAAGATATCTCAAAAGAAAACCAAAATCGTCCATTCAAATCTAATCAAGGAAGCGCACTAGATAAATAAATCTTTCCCAAATTGTCACAAAATAACTTTGAAATTTTATTTAATAGGAAACAATGGGATATTTTGACCCTCAAGAAATTTCCCACTGGGATTTAATTGAACAAGAAGAAGTGTGGGAACAATTAGCCCAGGAAATGTTCGACTTAAAAGAACAGTTACAGGAAATATTGAGATTAGAAAGACAGCTACGAAGAAGAGTATATCGAGCGCGCATGAGGAAGGAGTTAGACGATCTATGGTTGGAAGATAGTGACGATTCACCACACGACATATTTGACTTAAGGTCATTATTTTACTTATCAATATTAAATAACTAAAGGAGATTGATGTCGGGAATAGGAATTTTAGAATACAAGAAGAAAAACAAATATTTTAAAATAAATGATTATATTTTAACAAAATGTGAAATAGAAAATATATAAAGAATAATTGTTAAAATAAAATACTTATACTATATCTATACACCATACATCTTATATTCTAATATCTATTGCAATATGCTGAAATGACAATTTTAAATTTTTAGAAGTTTAGAATTTTGAACATGACAAGTATAAAATAAACCGAAATAAAAATCCAAAAACACAAAAACATCACTATCAAAAAACTATCCACATTTTCGCTTTCACTTTCACCGAAGAGGGTTGTGAGGTCTCCGCAATGGGGCAGGAGGATCTCGCGGACGGAATAGTCGCCTTCCTTCTTGAATCTCTGCTACTGGAACAGCGGGCCTTACCCGAATCCCGGTAGTGACGAACCAGAAGTGGTCCCCAATCCCCGGATAGAAGAAATATCCAGGACCTCTTACTTCGCCGATGTTAATACGGCTAAGGATCCTGGACATCTGTGGGGCAGGGAGTTGGAGCCACTCGTCTGGCAGATCAACAACCTCTTCGTGACCGTTTAAATGGTTAGGAAGGGTGTCAAAAAATTCCTGAAAATAAACAAAAATTAGTAAAAACGAAATGAATAAAAATAATATTGATAACAAATTTGTAATACTTACAAAGTCGCGAACTTCCTCGTGATTCTGTCCGTTTGCTGGTGGACGCTCAGGTTCCCTCATGGGGAGTTCCAGCAGAAAGGATAAAATAAATAGAAAAAAATTGAACATGGTGACTCTTTGAATAATAAGAGGAGATTTAGAGTTATACTCGATGTCAAGCAAGTAATGAACAGGAATCGCGGGAGCACAATGTTTTATAGACAGGTAGAAGAGAAAGGAAATAAAGAATTCAATAGTCACAAGTTGATAAGAAGATTCGCGTTTCAAAAAAAATGTGGAAACTGATATTAATAC